ATACGGTTAGATTTATATAGTTAATGACAATTTACATTGTCAGTAACATTGGAATTGACATGGTTTATTCAATTTACATATTCTGTAAACGTAAACATGCTTGGAAGAATATAATTAAAACAACATAAAATTGGGAGGTGGTAAGGTAATGGTAGGCATGGCGGTAGTATTAAGGATGCATGTGGGGTCACACTTCCCCAAGTGAAGCAATCCCCCAAACCCTGGTCAACAAGGATCAGGATTTAACAGTTCTTAGCTCCTTGATGCCCAGCCCCAAGTTCTGCCTTTCCAACCTGACATACAGGTCAACTGCTGAACAACATATAGCACAGCTGGATCATTGGACAACTGAAAAATGAGACACAGAAAGCTGTGCTGTTTCTGTTCTAAAAGCACCAGCCCAGGTGCCCTGTATTTATTCCCTTCTATTAGTAGGGGTAAGGATGGGGGCTTTGACACACCTTTCGCTTGAGTGATATCTTTCTTATCAACTTTTCCTCCACTATCTTGTAAATAACCTTGATTTCTAGTATTTAATCACCTTTTCTTATTCCTTCCCTTGTCTCCATTTCCAATATTTGTTCTTTTAGAGGTTTATTTATTTTATTTTAGAGAGAGAGAGCAAGAGTGGGGGAAGGGGCAGAGGGAGAGAGAATCTCAAGCAGACTCTGCTCACTGAGTGTGGAGCCCGAGGTGGAGTTTGATCCCATGACCCTGAGATTTCGACCTGAGCTGAAACCAAGAGCCTGACGCTCAATTGACTGTGCCACCCAGGCGCCCCTCTGATATTTCAATCCCAACTCTAGATTGGACTCATCCTTTAGAGGCCTTCCCTGAACTCCTTATTACTGTCTTACCTTGTACCTATTTTTTTTCCATAGCTCTTATCATTACCTGAAATTATATTACACAGTACTTGTTTTCTTGTATGTTGTCATTTTCCTCCCACTAGAATGTAGGCTCCATGAAGGCCAGGACCTTAATTTTGTCCACTGCTGCATCCCCTAGAAGAGTGCCTTGTACTTATGGGTGCTTAATTAATATTTCTTTGATGAATTATTGAATACATGAATACTACTTAGTCTCCATATTTCTCCTATGCCCTGAGGATATTAGATTTTTTTTTTCACCAGGGTAACAGAAGGCCTTAAAGAAATTTGTGTTTGCTAGATCCTTGAAGCAACTTTCACCCTCCACACTCCTTATAATAATTGTGCAGCCATGGTTCAGATCCTTAGTACAGGTTCTTTCTTTTTTGAAGTTTTGTTTTGTTTTGTCTTCATATCTGTGTGGTAAAAATCATTTTAAAGATATGCAGGAGATTTCCTGGTAAAGCAAAAGTAGCTTTACCAAATACCAACATATGACCAATCTTGTTGCCTCTATACCCTCTACTGTTATCTACCCCTTTTATTAATTTTTCATAGCTTTAATGGGGTATAATTTTCATACAATAAACTGCATATATCTAAAGTATAAAATTTGATGAGTTTGGAATATGTATATACTCATGAAATCATGGCCACAATCAATATAATGAACACATTAATTACCCTATAAAAATTACCCTAAAAGTTAGAACAGTGTTCTTTAAACTGCAGGTTGTAACCCAATAGTCATTTGTGGAATCACTTCCAGGTGATAGACGTGAGACAACTCTGGATAGCCCCAGAACCTCTTTCCTTCCCCTTTTCAGTAGCTCAGTTGAGAGTTGAATGTGCTGTACTGAGCCAGCTGTGGAAAGACAAGGCCTCTGGCTGATATCAGCATTCCTGGTGTAAAAAGCTTTTCCTAGGGCCCTGAGTATGTACACCTTGGCCTCTGTCATGCATATTTCCTAGCACTGTTACCAATTTAGAAGATCATTGATACATTTTTTGTTACTTAGAGAAACAAGGTGTGCCTTAGCTCCTTTTGCCAGTATGGAAACAGAGCTTGTACTCTCTTGGAGTGCTCACATTTGCACAGCAAGCTTGCTGTCCAAGCGGGCTGCTCTTTGCTGGGCTTTGGCCTTAGTGCACACAGAACATCTCTGACTGGCATATGCCATGGAACAAGGAGAGATCAGGAGAAGCTGTGTGTGCTCTGCTACTTCTTGGCCTGCTTAGAAGTTTCCCCCCAATAAATCCCATGTTGTATCTGCATCATGTGGTATTATCAAAAGCTGGCTTCCCAAACAGACTGTTGGTAAGACCAAGTTGAGTTTATTACTTACCAGGGTGAAGAAGAGCACCATCTATTCAAAGCTTCAGCAAAAATGTCTCAAAAGGAGGGAAGGCAAAGTTAGAACTTGAGAATTGGAAGTTTGGTTTGAGGTAGGTCTTTCAATGAAGGGACATGATTTAGAATTAGGTAAGGATCATAATGCAACTGTCCAAGATTAGTTGAAACAGCAAGACAAGGATTTTGAAGTGATGGATTAAAAGACTCTTAGGGCATTTTAAACTCTCTGTTGTTGCTTTCCATTGAAGAGTTTGTTGTTGGATTTTTCTGTAATAAACCATTTGCATGGGCAGGAGAGCCTTGGAAAAGTAAAGTCATGTTAATGAAGACAGTAGAATAGGGAAATTATATTTGTGTAGACAATAAGGTGTAGGTTTAGTTTTCAATGTCCAGGCTAAGTATGGGAATAGAAGGTTTTGATTCTCAGGTGTTGGCAGTATATGTCCATGAACCCCTTACATGACAGTGATCACCAGCATTTTTCAAAAAATGAAACTAAATAAACTAGAATTGAATTGCATGTAGTAGGGTTAAATACTCTTTCATGAAAACTTTGTTTCAATTACACATGTTTGTGTGAAATGAGTCATGAAGTAAAATGTGTCTCCTTACAATAGGCCTGGAGCCAGAAATGTTTGAAAGCTACTTCCTTAGAGAAATGTTGATAGACCCTTAAAAGTGATAATTCCCTCTCTCAGCCAGTGTGCACTGCTCCAATCTAACCTTCCATGCTAGTAATAGAGGAGTGTCTGGCTTTGTTAGGAAAGAATACACAATCTGAGAATTAAAATGGAGGTCTTCTTCAGGTAGACTAGGGTTTGAGTGGGAACTTTGAATCTATAAAGTTGTCTGCCATTTCAGCAGAGAGCTGAAAGAAGGCACATTGCTACTGAAGCACAAACCATGGAGGCTAGACACAAATAAGAGTGACCTACTGTGAGCACTGTTAGTGTCTAAAACAAATCCCTAAGAAGGCATAGGTTCCCATTTGACCGAGATGCAATCTACTTTATCAGGGGACTAGATAAGATGACCCTTGGGGTGGCCTCCATTGAGAGGATATTATAATTCTAGAGAGGATCCTACAACAGAAGCAGGCAGTTAGCCTGAGATGTTACTTGGTTATCACCTCTCAACACCTGACCCTGAGGTATTGTTGGACAGAATAATAATTGTGACATAGTGGACAATGAAGATCTTCCATTCTCAAGTGGGTCATCTACTTCTCTGAGGAAATTCTGTCACTTGAGGTCTTTAGAAGCCTGGAGGTTTTTAAAGGGACATTAGCCATCCCCCTCCTCCACCATCCCCCCTCATCAGGCCTGAAATTCCTCAGAGCGCCCCAATCCTTAAGATAAAGCACTATCATCTACATTTAAAATGTAAATTCTCCTTTGGCTCAAAATTTAAGCCTTTTGGATTTGTTTTTCCTACTTATCAAAAAGAGGCTTAGGTTAAAAAGGAATGAGAAACACTGCAACACTACCTCAGTGGGAATTGACATGGTTTATTCAGGAATTCATTTAGCAAACAACAATTAAGATTAGTTGGAGATCTGGATGTCCCTGATTTTGAAGGTTTCATGGTCTGAAGCCGACCTGTAAACAGGTAAGTCACATCCTATGTCTGAGAGTTGTGGAAAGAACCTAGGCTGAAGCCACACAGACCTGGGAGGAAATTACATTCCCTCCTTCTTAATGGTGCCATCTTAGGCCATGCAGCTGAGCTTTGGTTTTCTCATCTGTAAATTAATTAGAACAAAACTAACTTCACAGAATTAAGGAGATGATTTTATTCAGGTTATAGCCATAAGGAGACTGCTTAAAGAAAAGAAAGGAAAGTTTTATAGAAGCAGGTGAACAAAGGAGTCATCATCAGTCTTATGGGAGCCATGAGGAAGTATGGGTAGGGTCTTATCTCAGAATATGCCAGGACAATGTGGTCCCTTACAATTAGCAGTTTTTTTGGAACTCAAAAGGGTGGGGGAGTTTTCTCAACTGTGGCTGCATTCTTGGTCCCTAGGGCTCAGATAAAGTTCAATGTTGTCAAGCATTTAGCATAGGACCTGGGCCATGGTAGGCATTCAACAAGCGTTTCTTTCTTTTCCTTTCTCCGGTAGAAGGATGTAAAAAGTGGTGTGGGGGTTCACAGATGGGCCTGACAGATTTACTTCGCTTGGGAAAAGTGGATTTGACAAAAGATCCTGATTTTTAAAGGATAAATGGTGTTTCGTCAGAAAGAGGGAAAAAATGAAAGCTTTCTAGATAGGCTAACATAATAGAGAAGGGCATAAAGGTTTACAAGAGACATATTCAGAGACCAGCTGTAACTTCAGTGTGTTACAAAGAATAGTTGGACATGAGGTTGTTTTGAGCCAAACTGTAAAAACCCATGGAAAGCCATTTAATGCTTACTGTTTCAGGAAAACAATCCAAGAATATATGACTCTATCAAGATGAGGTTCCATTTTATGAGACTGGCTCTGTAAGGGATGGAAGCAGGGAGACCAGTTAGGAGATGATCTAGAGAGGACCAAAGTTTGACCTAGAGCAGTGGCCATGAGGATGTCATGAGAGGACTTATTAAAAAGACAGTAAATAGAATTTACTAGACAGATTATCTAGTTATGGGGAGAGGTAGCATGCAGGTGAGGGAGAAGGTGGAATAGTAGAGGATGATAATGTTAATAACAAATAGACTAATATTTCTAGTGCTTACAATGTGTCCTGCATTGTTCTAAGAGTGCTACACTTATCTCTTTTAATCCACACGGTTCTATGAGGTAAGTGTTTTTCTCCCCTCCATTTTCAGATGAAGAAAATGAGGCATAAAAAGTTAAATACCTTGCTGAAGTTTTCACAGATAGTAAATGGTAAATAAGCCGGAACTCACCCCCAAGCTGTCTGAGTGCAAAGATTGAAGCTTGGATGACTATGTGCATACTGTTGCCATTTACTAGGATCAAAGGATATAGGATGGGGGTCAAATTTATGGTGAAAGTATTTGTTTTGGACAGGTTGACATGAAGTGCAGCAGACAGTTGATTAAATGGATTTTGAGCTCCAGGAAGAGATAGGACCAGAGCCGGAGACTTGAGGGGTATCAACATATAGAGATATGCTCATTAGGGGTCTCAGGATGGCCTTAGATGAATGGGATGCACAAAAGTAGGGGTGGGGATTTAGAAAGAGGGGGATGGTGAAACAAACAAGGGGAAGCAGTAGCTTGAAGGCAAATTTGATCAACCTAAAAATTTCACAGGCAATGACTTAGACTTGGAGAGTGCTTGTTTAATTCAAGCCCATTGGTACAGCTGGAGGGGTCCTGTAGCACCACATGCCTAGGGATTTTTAGGATTCTTGAACATGAGACAGGATGGATTCCACAGTACCTGTGGTAGGTTGAAAAAGAACCCCCCCCAGCAAAAGACATCCACGTGCTAATCCCTGGAACCTGTGACTGTTACTTTCTATGGTAAAATAAATAAAATGGAAAAATGCTACTTTATATATAAATAATTTTTTTAAAAAATTTAAAGATTTTATTTATTATTTGAGAGAGAGAGGGAGTGCATAAGAGAGGTGAAGGGCAGAGGGAGAAGCCGACTCCCCGTTGAGCAGGGAGCCCGATGCAAGCTCAATCCTGGGACTCCGGGATCATGACCTGAGCCAAAGGCAGATGCCTAACCGACTGAGCCACCAAGGTGCCCCTAAATTTAAAATTTAAAATTTAAAAAATATACATTTAAATTTTTAATTATAAATATAATTACATTAAAGATCTTGAAATGGGGAGATTATCAGGGATGATCCAGATTGGCCCTGAATGTGATCACACGTAGTAGAGGGAAATAGTAGATCTTATACATATGAAGAAAAGGTGAAGAGATGACAGAGTGGAGAGACAATTGAAGATGCTGGCCTGGAAGATTAGAGTGATGTGGCTACAACCCATGGAATGCCAGGAGCCACCAGAACCTGGAAAAGACTAGAAATGTACTGTCCTCTAGAGTAGCCAAATAATATCAGCCAAATAATACTGATTTCAGACTTTTGACTTCCAGACCTGTGAGGTAATAAATTTGTTGTTTTAAGCCACAAATTTTGCGGGAATTTGTTACAGCAACCACAAGAAACCACAAGAAACTAATATAGTGTCTTCTCAAAGCTATCACCACTTAACACAATTTTTGACCCAGTAATCCCTAATTATCAACAGGTATCAGGCCTCATTTGTCACATATTAGACATGGTGCTCTTGTTATGTACTTTGGTCAAGTTTTCTTGGAACACGTGGAATAGGGAGACCTTCAGCTTCATGGGGAATGAAAGGGGGAAGGATAGGGGTCTTTACAGAAAAGCACTATCCAAAATTAGCCTCTAAACCCCCAGAATGTTCACAAATGATTCCTTCAGACGTGGCACCTCCTCTGACTGGATTAGATCTTAGGGAGTCTTATAAGCCATCTCCCTGTCTTTGCCTGAATGCAGCCAAGATCCTGAAGTTTAAAGGGTATCTACTTTGGGGCAGATAACTGGCCTACTGGTTGGCATGGCTAGTTAGGACAGAGTAACTGTCATTCAAGAGTCATGAGAATACTACATCTTAGGGGAAAATGGCTGGAGAAAGAAGCACATATGGAAATGGATTGGAATTTGTTGCTATAAAGTGAAAAAGAGTTACAGAAATGCTGGTAAGATTGCTATCAACAGCAGAGAAAGACAATTATAATATGGTTTCAGTCATATGTGGAACATAAGGAATAGTGCAGAGGACCTCAGGGGAAGGGAGGGAAAACTGAATGGCAAGAAATCAGAGAGGGAGACAAACCATGAGAGACTCTGGACTCCCGGAAACAAATTGAAGGTTACAGAAGAGAGGGGGGTGGAGGGATGGGGTAACCAGGTGATGGGTATTAAAGAGGGCAGGTGTTGTGAGGAGTGTTGTTATAAGCAACTAATGAATCATTGAACACTACATCAAAAACTGATATGCTGGCTAACTGAACATAATAATGAAAAAAAAGATTGCTATCAACAGTTCTCTCTCAAGTGTTAAGACTGGAAAATAACTTCTGTGAGAAGGATTGGTATGGAACTCTGAAAAATCTAGCCAACCTGTAAAATCAGAAGGGCTTCAGAAAATTGTCCCCAGGGCAACTCCAGAATCCTAAAGAATTATTGCAGAAAAACTAAGTATACCCATGTAGATGTTGAAAACAACATAGCAGTGGATTGCTGAAAAAGTAAAATCCTACAATTTACAGATATGGAAGAGAACCTAGAGATCACCCAGTTTAAGCCCCTCACGGTACAGATGTGAAAAACCAGCAGATTTTTCAATCCAACTTTAAATCCAAATTTGCTCTGTAGTCTGGCTTCAGTGTCCACAGTGTTTTTCTGGGTCAGGTGCTGAATCATGGCAATGAAAACATACTTATAAACGCATTCTCGGTACACAGGACAATCACGATGCCTCCCTTGCTCGCCAAAGGGCGCAAAGTGAAATTCCTCCCACAGTTGAGACACATCCTCCCTGGAGTCTGGGACAGAAGCACGTTAGCAACCAGGAAATTAGCGGAACCTTGAGGCTGAACACTTGCTGCCTGCACGGTTGCTTTAAGAAAAGAACACTTCCGGCTGGCGAGGCCTTGCCTCCAATTTGTGGTTAGGTTGGCCCCTAGTTCTCGTGTTCCGATTTACCACGCTAACTCAGAGAGGCGGGCTTGCGTCTGGGTCACGCTCTCCCATTGGCTGCTGGCACAGCGGCGGTTTGGAGTGAAGGTAGCACGTTGAACTGAAAGCTGTTGGGAGTGCTGCGACACAAGGCCTGCATTTGAGCCCAGTGTCCGGTGGGAATCCGGGCCCCGGCCAGGTGTAGATCACCAGGGGATGGATCGCGTGTGGAGTGCGTGGTGCGGGAAGTGCGTCAAAGAGAAAGGGTCGCCTCCGCTTTGGGCCCAGCGCATCGTGGTCGCCTGGCTCAGTAGGGCCGAGTGGGATCAGGTGACGGTGTATCTGTTTTGTGACGACCATAAATTGCAGCGGTACGCCCTCAACCGCATCACCGTGTGGAGGAGTAGGTAAGGCTGCAGGCTCAGCCCTCCTTCTTCCGTGCTGGTGGCGCCTCACCTCTTCCTTTGTAGGATTCCTCTTAGAAGGCCCTATTCTGCAGTCTTATGAATGCCTAAGGTCCTTATGAGTAGTTTGGGCGTTGCCCCTTTCCGAAGAGCCTGGGAGAAAGTCACAGCCAAGCTTTTGTCCTAAACCCGTGTGCGGAAAGGAAGGGGGTGTGCCTCAACCACCCTCTTGTTAAATCTTCGAGCCTTCTGTTTTGGGGAAGGTGCTGAAGGTACCAATGTGGCTGAGCCAGAGCTTAAGGAGTAGGTTAACAGCCTAGGGTGGATTTCTGAGTCGAATTGGGCTGGGGGGTGGGGGAGGCGGTGCTTGCTAGCGAAACCGTGTTTGAATGGGGCACCTCAGTCCAGTTGGTAAGATTGAGTTGTGAGCAAAGGATGAAGTCTTCTCTAGCTGAATGAAGGTTTTAAGAGTGAAAGGGCTGTGTTCACACTTAATTGTTGGTTGACTGCTTAGCAGTTAGGTGTCCTTTGTAAACCTTAGCCGGCCTCTCACACACACCCTATATACAGTTGGATCCCAGGGACATTATCCTCCCTCTTCCCACTTTGATTCGTGTCTTGTCATGCACTCTTGAGCCAGTTATGTAATTGGAATAATTTACAGCGATCTATGTTCTGAGGTGGAGGGTGGACCAGGGTAAGGGACCTTTATGATGGTGCTGGACTGTGGCTCTTTAGGTTAGGCAACGAACTCCCCCTGGCAGTGGCTTCTACTGCTGACCTGGTACGCTGTAAGCTCATGGATGTAACTGGTGGCTTGGGCCCTGATGAACTTAGACTGCTCTATGGCATGGCGTTGGTCAGGTAAGACCTACATGGGTAAGGGTGGGGGTGGGTTGAGGGATGGGGGGTGGAGGTAGCCACTTGATAAGCAAAGCTTGGCTTTAGGTGCTACCTGAAGCAAAAAGCCCCATGTGTCCCTCTGTATGGGTCACCCTGTGATTGTTTGATTTGACAGCTTTTGGTACCCCCTGTCAACACACATTCCTCTTTTTTCTTTTTCCTGAGAGCCTTCTCTCTTCCATTTTTCTTCTCTTTCTGGAATGTAGGGTGGGGGTGATTTATACCAAGTGATCTCAGTGTATCTCTTCCAGCTTTGATAATTTGATTTTTTTTTTCTTCCCCTTTAACTCTTTACCCAGAACTTTTCTGAATGGTCTGATGTCCTTGGCCATGACTTAATGTGGATTTTTCAACTCTTCTCCCATCCATACGTAGCACCATCATTTCCCCTTTCTGTCCTTGAACACTAAAAGGTTGCTGAGTTGAAGTGGACACATGGGCTGGGAGTTCCTGATTAACAAAGTGATTTAGAGTGGTTCTAGCTGTTTCATACACATCAGGATAAAAGCTGCCACTGAATTTTCTCATCTGTCAAAATCTGCTCATCTCATACTATTTACTTTCTGTGCCTTGAGGTCCTCACTAGCTCTTCTTACCTTCTCCATCATTTAGGTGGGCTCTCCATATCATTTGATGTAGGTAATTTTTTGTTTTAGCATTTATAACATATGATCTAGCACAGTATGTTTTATTATGTCATGATTATTTATTCTAGACTGACCTCTTCAAGTCCAGAGCAGTGTCTTCTTCATCTGTATGGCTTCAGTACAGGGCAGACATCCTGTGCTGGCTGATACCAATCATAAGAAGAGGATAGAACAGTTAGTGGAAAGGTTGTAGAAATGCAGAGTGTCAGTAACTCAGCAAGGTGTTTTGAAGCCCCACTGGTTTGAGTAAAACAGTTCCTTGGGCTATGCCACTTATTTCTTCCCCAACCCCAGGTTTGTGAATCTTATCTCAGAGAGGAAGACAAAGTTTGTCAAGCTCCCTCTCAAGTTCCTAGCTCAGGAGGTATGTATGACAAAACGGCCTTGCTCAATTCTCTCTCCCCGGGAGGGCTCACTAAATGGGGCATGGGGTGATATGGGCACACAGTCAGACTAGCTCATCCCACCACTATCAGCCAAGCCCAGCAAGAACCCCAGAGCCTCAGCCTCCAGCTTGAAAGAAGCAGACTTGCTCCCTTGCTCATGGCTGCTATCTTCAGTGGCTTGGCCTGTCCAGTTTGTTGGGAGTGGGCCCTTGAAGCTGAGGCACGGGAATGCTCCACTGGGTGAGGACAGGAAAGAGGTGGCAGTCACAGCACCTGCTTTCTGGGAGCTGACAGTCTGAGGGAGGAGACAAGCTCAGCCGAGCAGCATGAAAATGCCTGACATTCCTGCCCTGAGTGAGTATGTGAGGTGTGTAGAAGCCCAGAAGGTAGGCAGGTTCTCAGCCATCAAGAGAAGCTTCCTAAAAAAGGGTGTGGGAGGGAGGGAGGAAAGATAAAGGATACCTAGGAATTGGGACTCATAGGGCAGAGGAAGGCTGGAGGTGATTATTAATGCTCATTCACAGGAATCTTTGTTGGAAGAGGGTGGTTGGTGGTTGGAGGAGGTAGCTATCTTTTCTGATTTTCCAGATCACCTCCACAGAGCAGTAAAAAGAATAAGGAGACCTTCTTTCTAATCTTGGCTCTGCCTCTAAGACTGGAACCGCCTCAGGACCTCAATATTTTTATCTGTAAAATGTGGGGAGGCCAAGCTAATTCATCTCTGTGGTCCCTTCCAGCTTTAATATTTTCTAATTTCTGTACTCACCCCGTCCCTCACAATCAGGTAAACATTCCAGATTGGATTGTTGAACTTCGCCATGAGTTGACCCACAAGAAAATGCCCCATATAAATGACTGCCGCAGAGGTGAGTCTTCAGGGAGTATACCTATCATAGTTAAGCCCAGGGGCCTGGGCTGGGTGGCACTGTGGGGAGAGGGAGAGGAAGGAGGATCTCTCACTGGTGTCAGAGCCAGAACTAGGTTGAGGCAAGTGAGGCACTTGTCTTGGGCACAAATGTTAAAGAAGAGGGTGTCAAAAGCTCAGTAATCAAGATAAGTAACATTTTGATATGGAAAAACCCACAATGAACAAAATGCCAAAATTTTAAATAAAGTCAGGATTATTAGTGATTTCTCCTTTTGCTTCAGGCTCCAATATGGCTTGGCAGGACACTGTTCTGATCCTGTTTTGATCTCTTGGTTACTACCTTTTTTGGCATCCCCTTAAATTTCATACCTAAAGAGGTGAGTGGGGGGCAGGTTGAGAGGTGTGAGCCATCAAGTGTCATGAACCCAGGAATTCTTTAGACACCCCATCCCAATTCATTCAGCCTAGTCCCTTCATGTTGGGGAAACTGAGATCTAGAAAAGGGAAGAGACTTGGCCAAGGCCATGTAACTAGCTCTAGTGGACCTGGGTCCCATTCTTCACTTACCAGCTCTGTGTTATTTTTGGCATCGCATCTCTAATACTGGTATTAGTTTCTTCTAGGAAAGGTGCTGGTGAGCAGAAGAAAGCAAGGAACAGAGAGATAACCCAGAGCAAGAGGGGCTACTTCCAGATATTGGAGATTTGTGCCTTCTTGGAGCCAAGCCTCTTCCCTGGGGTCTTCCCATAATGCTTATAAGAGGAGGCTAGGGGCCTGCTAGGAGCTGTTTGCCTGTGGCTACTCCTATGACACTGCCTTCCTTCCTCCCCTCCTTTAGGCTGTTATTTTGTTCTGGATTGGCTCCAGAAGACCTACTGGTGCCGCCAACTGGAGAACAGCCTGAGAGAGACCTGGGAGCTGGAGGATGATAGGGAAGAGACAGATGAAGAAGACCCAGAGGAAGATAAAAATATTGTTGTTGATGACATCACAGAACAGAGACCAGAGCCTAAGGATAAAGGGAAAGGTGCAGAACTGGATATCAGGGTTGATGGAGACAGTGAAGGCAACAAAGAGGTTGATTCACATTTGAAAAAGGCTCTGAGACATAAAGAGCTATATGGTAGGTGTACTTGGGTGGGAGGGGAACATAGAGGGGCCCATGAGTCTGGAAGACTCAGACTTAGGGTTAACACTGGTTATTTCCCTGGCTCAGAGTTTCCTCTGGGGTTGTGAGTTTTAGCTTAAAACAGTTACTGTCACAAACCATTTCCCTTGAGCCCTGTGAAGTAGGAGAGGCAAGAATTCTAGTTCCCAATTTACAACTCAAGAAATGAGATGAGAGGGGCTCAGAATCCCATGAGGAGCAAAGGGCTGGGCTGCCCTCTCTGTTTCCATATTTTGTTTTCAGAAAGAGCCCGAGAACTGCTGGTATTATACGAAGAGGAGCAGTTTAAGGTAAGAAAGCGCCCTTGACTTTGTGTGTTTTCACTTGCCCCAGCCATTTCTTCCCTCTTGCCAGCTTCCTGAGAAGGAATTTGAAGGAAAAGTGGCAGAGCTTGAGGGAGCTTCTCGAAAAGAGAGGGGGGATCTAGGAAGGAGACAAGAGAAGCAGAATCCAGTTGGCTGATCCTCTACACCGATGGAAGAGAGCAGATGATGGAAGTCTGTGGATAATCTGCCCCACTGGGTGGTAGGGAACAACTGGTCATAGGTGGTTGCATAGTCCTGCAATACTGCAGCTGATAAGCAGAGGGCACCCAGGAACTTTCCTAGATCAGGTGAGCTTGAGGGGTGCTATTTTAGCAGGAAGGGACGTAGCCTAGAAACCATTCAGCTTAACTCTTCCTTTTCACAGATGAAGAAATAAATTGAAACCACAGATGAGTGAAGGGACTAGCCCCAGGTCACATACGCAATTAGTGATAGAACCAGAATTAGAATCTCGGTCTCCTGATTCCCTTTCTTCCATAACCCATTGCTTCCCCTCATTCCTGGGCCCAAGGGTCTCTGGCCCAATTCCAACAAAATGCCCTCACTGGACATCTCAGTATTGGAGTATCTGGTGATTGGGAGCCACGGGGAATTCAAGGTGGGGAGGGAGGAGGAAGAAAAGAAAGTCTGGCATTTGAAGGTCAGGATATTTTAAAATGTGGGGCCAGTAGGGGAGTTGTGGTCCCACCCCTGCATGCCCTGCTTATGCCATGGAGGGAGGTGCTGAGAGGTCCTATGGGAAGGAATCCTTGAAGATTGGGAGATGGGTTGCTTGGCTAAATCAGGGTTCTGATGGTAACTTCTTTGCTGGCAGGTGCTGGAGAAATTTAGGCATTTACCTCAGGCTGTTAAGGCATGGAACAACCTGTCTCCACCTGTAGAATGCATCCTGGCAGAGCTCAAGGGCATTACATGTGAGAACAGGTGTGTAACTAGGTAATCAGGGGCTGTCTACTCTAGCAGCCTCACTGAACTAGGCTTCCATATCCCAGCTTGTCCACCTCTGCTGTAAGGAAATCTTAAGGATAATCCTGATCCCCTGCGGGGTGACCCAAATTCTGCGTGACCCTCTTCCCCTGGCCCTGCCAGCTACCAAGTGGTGATTGCTTACTCTGAATCACTAAAATGGCCAGAGACACGAATGTCTGCGGTTATCAGTCCCCTGGCCAACATTGTTCCTCTCTGTCCAGTGGTATGGAGAGCTCTGGGCAAGTAGGAAAAGCCCTTCATCCTTACCACTTCACTGTCTAGCCTCTGTCCAAGTTTGAGGTCAAAGAAATGGGGAGCACTGCTGTTCTTTTGAACTGCAAGTGCGGAGTAGTCATGTCCCTTGAATGGTTGTGGTTGGGGGAACAAAGGAGAAGCTTTCCCAGGGTCTGGCTCTTTGAAAGAGTAAGGCCCTCCCGGGGCGCCTGGATGGCTCAGTCGTTAAGGGTCTGCCTTTGGCTCAGGTCATGATCCCAGGGTCCTGGGATCAAGCCCCGCATCGGGCTCCTTGCTCAGCAGGAAGCCTGCTTCTCCCTCTCTCACTCCCCCTGCTTGTGTTCCATCTCTTGCCGTCTCTCTCTGTCAAATAAATAAATAAAATCTTAAAAAAAAAATTAAAAAGAGTAAGTCCCTCCCTGCTCAGTGTGGCCATCAGCCTTCTTCCTGCCCCCCACCCTCCAAATAGTGCTCCGTTCAATCTAGTGCAGGCAATATCTATCCTTTCCTCTCCTCCCTAGCTCTTGGGTCTTGGTACCTAAATTCAGCTGGAAAGGACTTTGAGGAACCTTCCACTAAGAACCTATGGAGGCATTGCTAGACCTTCTAAACTAGGGAGAGGTTGGAAGGAATCTGGGATGGAGTAGAGAGTATTAGGAAGGTCATATAGGTGATGGGGTGGGCCTGGGTGGGAGCCTACAGTGCAGGTTGGGATTGCCCCTTGAGTCTTCTTCATTCCCAGGATACTACTAATTCCAAAGATGTTTTTATCAGTGTCTGCCCATCCTAGGCATCTTCGCAACCTTCAGCAAAGGCCACCTCAGCAGCTGGGATAACTGTCCCTGTACCTCTGTACAGTAGTGTCTACCCGGTTATGCTGAGCAGGCAGCTGGCTGCTTTAAGTGCTCTTCCTGGATACTGACCTGAGGAGATGGGAGATGGATGAAGGACAACTCTTTCCACCTCAAACCTGGTGGAGGGAGGAATCTAAGCATGAAGGCATGATCTGACAGTGCCTGTGGCCATTGAGATACCTTGGGAACTCATATTCCCCCACTAGGCCTGGTCAGCTAGGGGAACCTCTCTTGAGGGGAACTGCTAGATCTCGAGAAGACCCGCTGGCTGTTGTTGGTTTCAGTTTGAGCTACATGGGATGAGGGATTACCCTGATACCCTATGCTTTCAACCCCTATAACTTAGTCCTGGGTTCTTGGGGTCCCTAGGAATAAGGATTATATTTGCTCTAGCAACTGAGTACCCAAAGTTTCTGCTTCTAGGATTTGAAAGAGGGTAATTAGGGAGAAGGGGAGGGGTAAGAGACTAGAGGACTGTCAAGCAAAAAGACTGAGTAGTAGCTAAAGTCTAAAAGCCCTTGACCCTGTGACCCTAGGCGTTACCTCCTCTGTGGGCCTGGGACCTTTCTCCATCTGTGCTTTCAGGCTTGTTCAGCCTCTACCACCCTCATTGTGGGCCTTAGATCAGCATGTGCTTGGTAAATGCTTGTTCAAAACCCACTGATCCCAGTCTCTGGCCCAGCCTCTGCCTGAGAAGGCTGAGGCCTGAGATCCAATTGTCAGCTGCCTTCGTTTCCCATGCTGCTTTGCTCACTTGAACCAGAGGCATAAGCTGCCTTGGGAGTGGGTAAGGGCGTAGAAGAGGGTCTTCTGTCTGCTCAGTTGGCTTAATTAAGTGTCCTCTTGCTCCAGGGAGGCTGTGTTGGATGCTTTTCTGGATGATGGCTTTCTCATCCCCACATTTGAGCAGTTGGCAGCTTTGCAGATAGACTATGAAGGTATGGTCCTGGGGGCTCACTTCAGTCTTAGAGTACTGTGTTTCCTGGGCAAGAACAGCAGGGGTGAGGTGGGTGGCCGAGGACTGGGAGGCAAGGGCTTTTCCTGCCGTTCCATAGCCTCTGGAAGCCTGTCTCAGCTGAGCAGAACAGGTAGCCCCACTGTTACTCAGTTGCTGGGCTATTCTCAGGTGGCCTGGAATTGGGTGGGCTGGGGTGGGCTGGGGTGTGGGGGTGTCTTAATGCCATTATTGTGCTATGTTAATTGTGATTTAGCCACTTACTAGAAAGCTAGAACAGCAGAACTGGAAGGGCCTTGTGAGGTCATCTAGTTCAACATCCTCATGTTACAGATGGGCAGACTGAGGTCCAGAGAGGGGAAGGTACTGACCCAAAGTTACACAGTGAGTTATTGACAAAGCTGAAGCTAGAACCAGAGCTTGCTTTTTTTTTTTTAAATACTTTGTTTTGAGTCATTTGGTTGTCAGATACTAACTGGTTTCTCTCCTCGCTGTTCTGCTCTTCTCTTTCTGTTCTGTGGTGGCAACTCTGTTGTTGGTGGGCCCCCCCTCCTTCTCCCTGTCTCTCTTCCCCTTCCTCCCCACCTTCTGTCCCCCTTTCCTTTTCTTCTTTCCTCCCTCTCTTTTTCCCTTTCCTCAATCCTTGTCTCCCATGGGCCCCTGCCTCCCCTTTTCCATCAACCTGTATCCCTCACAAACCAGAAAACGTGGACCTGAATGACATCCTGGTGCCAAAGCCGTTCTCTCAATTCTGGCAGCCTCTGCTCAGGGGCCTGCACTCCCAGACCTTCACGCAGGCCCTGCTGGAGAGGATGCTCTCCGAGCTGCCAGCCTTGGGGGACAGTGGGATCCGGCCCACCTACATCCTCAGATGGACCATTGAACTGATTGTGGCTAACACCAAGACTGGTGAGGGAGACTAGCCCTAGCCTCAGGGCCTAACACAGCCCAGGCAGGAGCATCTGCCACTGTCCTCAGCTCTCAGCTGAATAGCACCAGGCAGACATGTCCCTTGTTAAAGATTTAGGCTTGCCCAGGAGGACCCCACAGCAGCAGTGGACAAATCTTCTGTTTTCTTTTTTTTTTTTTTTTTCCTCTGAGCCAAGTAAACTGGTCTGGGATAAAAGGGCCTAAATGCTTGAGCAAATGGGAGGTATAGAGTGGGGAGTCTGGAGGAGTGGGGAGGGACAGAGCCAAGCTTTTAAAGGTACAAGGTTGGGTGGGAGGCTTATCGGTTCTTTCTCCTCAGACCCTCTCTTCTCTCTCAGGACGGAATGCCCGCCGATTTTCTGCAAGCCAGTGGGAAGCGAGAAGGAGCTGGAGGCTGTTCAACTGCTCTGCCTCCCTTGACTGGCCCCGGGTGGTTGAGTCCTGCTTGGGCTCACCTTGCTGGGCCAGCTCCCAACTCCTTCAGCTGTAAGTCCCTTGAATTCCATCTGGTAAGAGGGTGAGGGTCCACAGGCCTCAGGGCCACACAGCCCTAGAATGGTAGAGTTGGGCCTTTGTAAGGACTCTGAGTCCCATTCCCCTCCTACTAACAGATGGGAGAACTGAGTCCAGTATGAGAATGAATGAGACAATTCCCTCCCACCCCCAGAGTGCTTAGCACAGTGGCCTGTACAAAGTAAGTGCACAATAAATGGTAGCTGCTGTTTATTATTGAACCCAGTCTTCTGACTCTGAGCCCAGTACTGTCTCCTTTGTTATCTTCCCAAAGTGTACCTCTCCTAGGTGCTCACCAACCTTTCATGACTTCCTCTTGCCATTCTGATGCAGCCTAGGCTTTTTGGCCTGACATTCAAAAATCTTTATGATTCTGCCACAACCTATCATGGTAACCATGCCTCCTGTGATTCTCCTTTACCCAATCTACCCTGGGTGCTGTAGTCAAACTGAATATTGCACTGGTTCCTGTAAATACCTGTGGTTGTCTCCCTTTCCTTTCCTCTGTCATATTCTGACCCCGAGCCACTTCCCTCATACTCGTGGAAGCCCTTAGCATGCAATTCTCTTCCTGCTTTCTGGAGCAATATCTGTTTCATTTGAGTGATCCATCTGATACTCTTCACCTCCTCAACTCCAGTGACTTTCATTTTCCACTACACTCTGCAACCCATTTCCATCACTCAGAGCTGCTCTACCTCTGAAACCTGACATCCCAGCATTCCACTCAGTGACCATAATCTCTTGTCCTTCCATTTCTCACCCTTGTGTCCCATGATGTTAGCTCTTTGCCTGCATCCAGACCTCCATCCCTCCATTTCCCGTCCCCCTTAACTTTGCTTCCCCTCCGTCCTGTCTGTGGTTGATCACTTCAACCACTCAGTGTCAGGACCCTCAGCTCTGCCCATCCTTTGGCGTTTCTGACTTGTAAACCCCTTAGCTGGGATTGATCCTCCCCACTCTGCTTCCCCCACTCCTTAGCCCAGGTAGCTGAGCTCTGCTGGTGAAAACCACATAGCACTGCGGATTACTGCCACTACAGAGGTATGATTTTTAATCTCAGGCCAGGCCTCAGTTCTGCTTGTCTGAACTTTTTACTTGTTTTCTGCCCACTTTGTCTCCTGTTTCCTGACTTTCCTAAGCCCTTACCACTCACCTCAAGCCCCTCCCCCTCTCCCATTTCACCCTAGCTTTCTCGAGCATCCAGCAGAGCCCCCTTGACCTAAGGTCCAGCCCTCGTGAACTGATCTGTGGCAACACTCAGCCATCTCGCCAGTCTCAGGATGAGGTGGCCTTGCCCCACCTCAAAGCCTGCTCTTCCACCTGTGCTCTGGAGCCGCCTCTGCTGGGGCGGCTCACTGGGGCCTCAACCCTGCCTCTCACTTGCTCTGCTGACTCTTGTTCTTCAACTTACGAATGTGCCTCAGTTTTCTTTTTCATCTTAAAACAACAATAACATAAGCAAAATCTCCTTTGACCCTGCATCCCTGTGTTGGGTAATGAGCAGCATATCAATCCTCTCCCCACCACCACCACCATCAAAACATCTCAAAAGAGTAGTCTGCACTCAACAATCTTGATTTCCTCACTACCTTCTTATTCTTCAACCTACTGCAATTTGGCATTTACCCCCAAAACTGCTTTGACCTCCTAATTACCAAATCCAGTGCGCCCTTGTTCATTGCTGTGTCTGCTGCATTAATGGCTGTTTACCACTCTCTCCTTGAAATGCCTGTGCTTTTTTTCCAGTTCCTATAAAGTGCCAAGGCCCAAATCTCTTTATCTATCCCAGGCCTCTCCCCTAAGATTCAGCCTCCTATATTTGACTCCTATGTCAGACATCTCCCTGTGGATGGCCCACAGATACTTTACTGTGACCAAAAGAGAATTGGTCATCTTATTCTCAACCCCAGTCCCAAAGTGATCTTCCTCTTTTGCTCCCTGGCTCAGTTGGTGGTATCACTATCTATGCTGTTATGTTGACTCAAGCGTTTCCCAAATCTGAGATTTTGTGTTGCCATGTCTACTTCCCATAGTGTCTCCTTCCCTCTATCAGACTTTTCAAAGGTAAGGGCTCTATATTAGCCATCTGTGCTATAAACCACCACACAAATCCAGGCCCTAAACAGACCTCAGTAAACATTGTTGAACTAAATAAAGTATACTCTGCCAGCAGTGCTCTCTTCGGTGGGAGCTAAATTTGTGCTTGGAGACTGAATGAAGTGGGAGTCTAGATGGCAAGACCCTCTTAGTCCCCTGATCCCTCCATAGAGTCAGAAAGTCATTCTTGAACCCTGATGGCATTGCGGCATGGTAGTAGTTTATAAGGGGAAAAAAATTTAGCTTTGTAGAGAAAGGAAGCCAGGGCAAGACCTCCAGCAGATGGAACTGAACCAAACAGCCAAATCTCCAGATGTGTATGCTCTAGACTGGAAGTGGTACGGATGGATGGGAAACTGGGAGGAGAACCAAAAAGACTTGGAGGGGTCAGGAAAGCATGACAGGGCATTTGAGCGATTCCAGGAGAATAAACGAAGTTTCGAAGTCTAGAAAGACCATGGCATGTGAATGTAATGGGGGGAGGGAGTGAAAAGAGCAGCATGGAGAGGTTCGGATAGGTGGCCTTCAAGGTACTTTCCAATCCTAAGTGCCTGCAGAGTGGAAGCTGCTGGTCTTGGAGAAGTCTGCACCACAGAGATCTTCTCCCAATCCAAGCATACCAGAGGGATGCGACACATAGCAGCAATAATAGCGGCTTACTTGGGTACGACTCCTGGTGCACAGATTCTGCTTTTCCCAGATAATCAATGAATCTAGAGTCCTAATCACCCCCATTACACAGATTGAGACAGAGGATCATCCTAGGTATAATGCTGTAAGTCAGTGGAAGTCTGCAAGTCAGCTAGAGGCAGAATCCCAGATATCCTATCCTTACTCCTGTGCTTTCGATAATGTTCCATTAGATTGCATGATTGTGAAAAGCATGTATTATTAGGTACATAGAAAACCTGGCTTTGTTTTCTCCAGAAGAAAAAATAAAAGATACCACTGGCAGTTAACTCTCTCAGGCATGGTGCTGTGCTTTTTGTAGAAGTAATTTTATTTGACACAACAGTCTTTGGAGGTGGAAGTATTCTATCCTTATTTAATAAGAAAGACATTGAAGCGCCAAGGGGTGAAGTGATTTATCCAAAAGTTACAGTTTGTTGCTGGTGGGACAGGGATTTGGGCCCAGGTTTTGTGAGTCCAAAGTCCACATTGTTTCCACAACCTGACCTGTGACCAGACAAACCCGAGGAGAGATGCATTTTATGATTCGTATCACCCCTATACCTTAGTGGTCACACTAGACAGCTTGAGATTGCAGGTGCGTAATAATAAACAGTGGTGATACAGGATCTTGCCAATATCAGTGCCTGGGAATATTATTAATCATATTAAGGGACCACAGTGAGAGGGAAGAGCTTCTCTCTGGCTTTTCCTCCAAAAAGTTTGGAAACTTAGCTTCCTGCAGCCAGCCAGTATCAATTCAATTTGAGCCAGTGTCCTCTTGGAATATGAAATTAGCCCTGCAGAAGGGGTCTCCCAATAGAGTCACTAGCCCCCAGCCCTACCCCAAGTGACCAGAGACCATATGTGGCCAGATAGCCTGCTGAGCATATGGCAATCTTCATGAATGACTCATAGTTCAGTTCACAACTCAGTACACCTAGAAGGAAACTATTGGTCCACTCCACCCATGCCTCTAGCAGTGACCAGATGCCTGGTTTTATATGAGACTGCAAAGGGTGTACACCCTCTTCCTCCCTAGGAGCTCTCCTTCCTATTGGCTCTGTGTCTGTTGCCAGTTTTGCTGTTAGTGCCATCCTTTGCATGCACACTGTCATCTTTAATTCCCGTCTTCCTGACCCCTACCATCCGGTCATCAGGCCCTGCTCTCTGTCTTTCACAGCTTCTCTGCCCCTCATCTCCACTGTCAGTGCCCTAGGTCAACCCTCACGGGCTCCCTGGTCTCCCTGCCTCCAGGCTACCCCATCCAGGCCATCCTCCACATGGCCATCCTCCACATGGGCACCATGGCGATCTTCAGAAATGCAGCCATCACCTGTGCTTAGAGTCATCAGGTGACCCCCTCTGCCCAGTGCAGACACTTAACCTTTGCAGCCTTCTCTTCCTCCCACAGCTCCCTAGAACAGCCCTTCCCCTGGAGCCAGGCTACTCCCACCACATGTACACAGTATAGTGTGCTCACTCTTGTCTCTGCACAAAGCCCTCCCTTGATCCCTCCTGCCCTCCTTGTACTCTGCCTCTCCCCAGCTCCTGTAGTGCCCAAGGTCCACAGGGCTCATCTGGCTTCCCTCCCACATCTTGCTTTGTCTTGTCAACTGCTATTTTTTTTTTCTTTTCCTCCATTCAGGCTGGGCTATAATTGCTCCTGGAAAGGGATCACATTTTGTGTTCCATGCAGAAGGAGCCCAACACACTTCCAGGCATATCTTTGGAGCTCAGGACCAATTGCTCAGCTAGGCCAGGGGAAGAGAGGGATCTGCCATTCTCATGTCTAGTCCTGTTGGCCTGTTGGCTAGTTTGTGTGTTTACGTAGCATTTAGTATAGACGAATAGCTATCATTTATTGCGTGCCCACTCACTATGTACCAGGCACTGTGCCAGGCATTCTATGTGAGCTATCTTAACTCTTCCCAACAACCCTATATATAAGTCAGGTGCCATTATTATCCTTATTTTTACTGAGAATAGAAGTGAGCCACAGAGATGAATCACAGAGCTTGTTCAGGGGCCCTGGTCCCATTTCTGTTTGCTCTTCTGCACTGCCTTTCAGAGGCAGGTCTGGAAACTCAGAGACCCAAGTTCAAACCATGGAGTATTGGGGTATGAAGTGAGTTGAGATTTTGAATCTTTTTTACCCCATCCTTCCCTTTGCTCAGTGTCTTCAAAGCCATGGGACAGGTCCTGCCAGACGAGGAGCAGGAGAGACTGCTGCGCATCTGTTCCATTTATACCCAGACTGGAGAGAACAGCCTAGTGCAGGAGGGCTCAGAAGCCTCCCCCATTGGGAAGTCTCCTTACACACTGGACAGCCTATATTGGAGCCTCAAACCAGCTAGTTCCTTTGGAATTGAAGGAGAACCCCAGCAGCAGGAGGAGCAGGGTAGCCTTAATGATCTCAAGAAAGATGAAAAGGAGGAGAAAGATCTGGAAGATCAGGTGGAGGAGGAGGAGGAAGAAGAAAATGATGACCAGAAGTGGGAGGAGGAAGATGAAGATGATGAAGATGAGGAGGAGGAGCAAGAGGAGGAGGAGGAAGACAGAATGGAGGTGGGGCCTTTCTCTACTGGAGAGGAGTCTCCCACTGCTGAGAATGCCAGGCTCCTGGCCCAGAAAAGAGGAGCTTTGCAGGGCTCTCCATGGCAAGTTAGCTCTGGTAAGAAGCCTGATACCCACTTTCCATCACACCAATCTTCCCTCTCTGGCTGATTCTTGAGGCTTCCCTCCACCCTAGAGAAGAGATGGAAAGTAACAGAAGGTGGCCAGTGTGAGGCAAGCCTGGGAGGCAACCTGATGTGTAGATGACACCTGGCTTTCCTCCCCTTTAAGACAGTGTGTGTAAGCTTCAGGGCCCTAACAGCTGTCTTGCTACTGGCTGCTTCATGCAGAGTGCCCCACAGGGGATGGTGTAGGTGTGGGCACCGAGCAGCAAAGTGCAGAGGAGAAAGCAAGAGGTGGGTGGATATATGTGATTCTGCATGTGTTTTCTTGCATGCAGTGATCAGGAGCAGGGAGACAAATAATGCTTTCTATGTATATGTGAATGTGTATGTATACGTGGAGGCTGGGTGGTGATGAGACAGGATTTTGCTGTGTATACGAGAAAGAGGGAAACCAGGGGTATTAAGTTAGAGGAAGTCAAGGGAGATCAGAAAAGTGAAAATTAAGGAGTGGTGTGGTTTTTAGGTGAGTATGCAAGTTAGTGAGACAAAGCCTGGAGGGGGAAAGAGAAGATGAGGTGATAGGAAAGTGGGGGTACACAAATCTCCTCCTGAGGGATGTGTTTTGAGTGCCTCTGTTTACATTAGGGAACAGGAACCTTAAGGCAGGGAGATACTGAAGGAATGAAGAGTTTGGTGTATGTGTCGGGGGGGGTGGCATGTGTGTATGTGTATACACTGGAGGCGGGTAGATGTAGGCCACAGCCAGTATGATGAAACCTGAAAGAGGGAAGGAAAACAACTGGGATTGGATATGGTGTAGGGTGGGACTGGTAGGGAACAATAGAGAGAGGGAAGGTAGCAAAGGAAGTTAGGGGGAAAGGTAGAGCCTTTGCCCTTGTGTGGACGTGTGTGGAAGGACTGGGGCATAAAGGCACTGAGTGCTAGGTGTGAGGGAGCACCTTTATGTCTGTGTGTGGTCCTGTACGCGCTCGACATAACCAAAGCCTGGTGGCAGAGAAGTCTCTTAGGGCAAGGAGGGCTGTGTTTGGGGTCTTTGTAAATATTGAATGGGAGGGGCATTGACATAGGCAGAATTGTATGTGTGTGTGAGAGAGTAGGGGCTGCGAAAGCAGTCATTGTGAAGTGGACACTATGCATCTGTGCATAGATACACACAGGGTCATGTTAGGTTTTTGGAAGAAGAGGCAGGGTCACTGGGACCTTGGGAGCCAGGAGGTATCTCTGAGGAGGAGAAGTAGCAACAATAAGAGGTGGGAGTATATGGAAAATTGTGAGAACAGGCAGTGAGACAGCCATCCAGAAGTAGCCCATGTGTGTCTCTGTTGTCACTGAGGGACATGTACACAGATGTCAGGCCAGAGAGGCAGGGGCTGTGATGTAGACAGGGTTGGGAATGTTAGTGATGGTGGGGGAGGATGGTCAGGTCAGTGACAGACATGGGGGACGTGGTCCCTGTGTATGAAGGTATCTTTATAGGGCAACACAGGGCATTAAGACAGGCACAAGTTCTTCCTATAAAAGAGTCGGGGTGGGTGGTTCTGTGGGTAACATGAAAAGCTAGTCCAGGGACTTTCCAGAATGCCAGGGGCATTATGACAAGGAGAATTTTTTGGGTACCAGGGAGATGGAGAAGGCCAGAAACTGGATCTACTTGGAGAAGCTCATGAAAGCTTCACTTGAAAACATTGGATGCACTGGTATAAGGATGGGAATGAGGGTTTACTATAATACTATGTAGAGGGTGTTTAAGGGATTGGACAGACGGAGTGGGAGTGCCTGATACGGTTCATTCTAAAGTGGAATATCTGTGGGGAGGGGTGTGGGAGAATAGTTTATGAAAGTGGAAGGGCTAGGATATTAAAGTCTTTTCTTCTCCCTTTTTAAATTGCTGCTTCTGTGTGGGCTTACACATGTACAGGGACATTAAGATTTCCCATACGTTCTTGTATGCCTATGAATGAGAGGTATAGGAGGCGGGGAGTGAAACTGGGAACATTCATTGAATGGTGGGTTCAGTCTGTGTGTTTATGTGTATATACTTAGGTGGCAGTGGGGAGTGGGATATGCAGTAAGATGGTCCTTCCCTAGATAAGGGATGTTTTTTGTGTTTACATCTGGGGGCAATAAGACCTTGCAGGGGGCAGGGGGAGTATAATACCTCTGAGAGAGAGTCCACCCTGAGGTGGTATGTGCGTGTGTGTGTGTGTGTATACCTCTCAAGGCAAGGCCACTAAGAAATGATGTGGCATTCAAACAAGTTGGGAGTGGGGGTTGTGTGTAGACATGCAGGAAATCTAGGTCATTCAGATACTCTGAGGTATCTGGGTTTGGGGATGAGGTGTGGGAATTCTGGGGCATCCAGACTCTCCAGGATATATGTGTGTGCAGAAATAGCAGAGCAGGTGAAAGACTGAGGCAGTGATACAGCCAGGTCTGAAGAAGATGTGCTTGTCTGTATTTATGTTGAGGATATGTCTGGGGAAGTGGGAGAAGAGCCAAGAGGAACAAATATGTTTGTAGTTGTGTGCATGGCATGTGTGGACTTGGGGGTGGGTTGTGGTGGCAAGTGTGGGTGTGTGTGAACACATGGAAGGGAAGGAGGGCAATAAAGAGTGAATAAGGGAGTATGGAAGGGGTGGAGAGTGTGAAGAGAGGAGCTCATGAGAAATGATGCAGACAGGAATGAGGCTGGACTTGCACAGAAATCCCGTGCTGAGCAGGCTAACTGAGGTGGGCAGGTAGACCTTGTAAGTAGGCCTGTATACCAGTTTGAGAACTAGCTAATCAGCCCACTCTTGCCTCATCCCTTTGCTCCACAGAAGATATACGATGGGATACCTTCCCCTTAGGCCTAATGCCAGGTCAGACTGAGGACCCAGCAGAGCTTATGCTGGAGAATTATGACACCATGTATCTTTTGGACCAGCCTGTGCTAGAGCAGCGGCTGGAACCCCCAACATGCAAGATTGGGTGAGTGCCAATGGCAGCAGAATTTCTTACCCCTTTCTCCGCCTCCTGCAGGAGGGAGGGAGGGAGGGAGGAAGGGAAGGACACAAAGTAGGATGGGTGGGGGAGGTAGCTTCCCCTACTCAGGGCCTAAATGAGTGATGTGTAAGCTCCGGTCCCTGGCTGGGCCCTTGCCAGGACTCCCAGTCCCTAGTTGTGGGGGTGGGCATTGAGGTAGTCACACAGATCTGGCTTGGCACCTGTCTCAGACTGCATCCAGTTTGTGTGTGAGACAGAGACAGAGAGAGTGTGTATGTATATGTGTACACACATTTTGGGAGGAGAGAGTTCCATAGCTTTCCTCAGATTCTCTAAAGGGTCCACCACTCCCAAAAGGTCAAGAACGGGTGCTGTAATCCAACTTCCTCATGTTCCTAAGGAGAAAACTGAGGCCCAGAAAGGGGATGGGATTTGTCCAAAGGTGCACAGAGTAATCAGTAGGCCTCCCCGCACTGTCCAGGCATCTTGGTAGCAAGGCCTGCGCAGGGCTCCATGCTCTCCCTCGAAACTCGCCTCTGGATCACAGGCGTGGGAGCCCTTGGGTCATCAGGGAGCCAGGAACCAAGCAGCCCTTGCTGAGGGGCTCTGCTGGTAACACAAAGGAGCCCGTCCAGAGGGCCTGTACATTCCGGAATGAGGGGCCATTGTGACCGGGAGAATCCTGTGAGTACCAGAGAGAGACCTCTGTGGGCCCCTGAAACGGAGAGTGTATCCCTGTGCTGCCTGCCCACTCCCTGGGAGATGAGCCCCTCTTCCTCTGGACTTTCAGGGAGAGAGATATAGAATCCAGGGGGCCCCAACAGCAGGCCAGGGGGCAGCAGGCCCTTGGAGAGGAGACGAGGCAGCTGGGGAAACCAGGTGGTCTGTAGTTGGGAGTAGGGCCCACATGTCTGAGAGACCTCCTCTCCCCTTGGGTAAGGCTTGATGAGCATCAGGGTATCAAGTGTGGGCAGGTGGAGCTGTTAATTCCAGAAGGAAGCTGATTCGGTCCAGTTCCCACACCCCCTGCAGTAGGGAGGCTTCCTCTGCTGGAGCAGGCATGCCCATTCCTGCTCCTTGTCTCAGCTCCACCCCTGACTTGGCTGTGTGGCCGGGAGCAAGTCCCTTTTCATCTCTGGGCCTCAGTTCCCTTGTCTGTAAGATGGTGGGTGATGGGAGGGAATGGGACTAGATCATCTCTAAGGGTTTTTTCAGCTGCAGTAGTGTAACCATGGATCTGCCTGAGGGGAAGGATGATGGCTTTGCTCTCAGCTGTCACCCTCATCTACCTGGAAGGACGTGCAGGAAGCAGGGGAAGCAAAAGTGTTCTGAGCAGCACCAGGGAGGGGAAGGGCAGTCCTCTCCCTAGAGCAACCTTGCAATCCTGGGATGGGATCTGGGCCTAGTCCAGTAGCCCAGTCCTGGCCTTGGACCCCTTAACCAGCTGTTGGGGGTGGGAGGGATCCAGCCCAGGTCCTCTGGGGCCCCAACATCTAGGGCCTTAGAAAAAGACCTGTTAAGGTGGCCACTCTCAATATCTTCCTGGGGTGGGGTGGGTACGGGCCTTCCCTCCTGCCTCAACCCAAATAGTTCTGCTTTAATCTGGTTTTATACTAGGGCTCTGAATAAAGTTTCATTCGAAAAGTTGTGCTCCTTCCCTCCCCCTGTCAATTGAGGGGAAGGCAGAACTACCCCTGGGGCCCATCTGAAGGAGTTTCTTAGATTGCCTCCATGGTCTTCGTAAAACCAGGCAGGAGGGTGGGCCCTTTCCATAGATACACATCAATCAAGCACCCTTAACCCTTCCAGAGCCTAAAGCTGCCTCTTTCCCTGACTGACCCTTCTCCCCTCTCTCCACAGCACCCTTGGTTTGAGCTGTGGCATGGGCAGTGACAACTGCAGCAACAGTAGCAACAGCAGCAGCAACTTGGAGGGCCTTCTCTGGAACCAGGGCCAGATGCATGGACTCAAAACTGGCTTGCAGCTCTTCTGATGCCCACTCTGGTGCAAAGGGATTATCCAGCCCTGCAGGGGCAATAGCCCATTCCCTGCCCCCGTTGCCCCCCCTGCTCCCGGCCCCCACCAGTGCACCTGATGCTCCATGAAACAACCTGGGAGACAGCCCGCTTCAGCCGTATAAGCTCAGCTTTCTGCCACAATGGAATTTTGAATATGTTCTGGGTTTTTTAAATTTTGTTTTGAAAAACAATAAACAGGCAACTGTTAGTTTTGGTGTTTGTAAGATAAGGTGATGTGTGCTGGGGCAGACCAGTGTAGTTCTCGCTTTTTTCTGGGGGACCCGGAGAAGGTATGATCATAACAGGACTTTAAGCAGAAGCTTGGTTCTTTGGCCCCTTAGGCCAACTGCTCCTAATTCTTTTGACCACCAGGCCCCACTCATACTTTCTTCCTGATTTGAACCATTTTCACTCCTCTCAGCTGTAGAACGGGACCAGCTCACTTGGAAGCATCAGGCTCCAGAAGAGAGGTATTGCTATAGAACCCAGCCAGCATCAGGGGAGTCTGCTCAGAACCTCCCTGACAGTGGGAAGACCCAGGCCTTCCTGATGTTACCTAGCAGGCTTTTGGCTCATTTCCTTGCTTACCCTCCCTGGGCACTAAGTAGCAATTGAAAACAAAAAAACCTTTGTTCTTTTTCCACTCCTTTGGCCTAGATAAGATAGGGTGGACTTTATTGTGGTAGGCTCTGAAGCTAGAGAAATATCTGATGGACTGATCTAGAGCTCCTACTCTATGGTCACCCAATTCCGTCAGATACTCAAAAGTGCCTACTCTGCCAGCTCTGAGCTGCCAAGAGAGGGATGAATAAATTATGTTCACACTCCGCAGAGTCCTCTGCCAGGTGAGAAAAGACAAAAGTTGCCAATCAAAACCTGAAGCTCTGCAGAGGGAGTTCTAAAGGAGCTCTGCTGTGCCACAAGTTCTTTGTTTTTCTCAGGGTTGTATTTTCAGTGTGGAGGTTGATTGAGGTCAAGTCTAGCTATAGTATTACCCATCCTCTGGGGAGAGTGATAGCTGAGCAAGAGAGTGGGCATGTCTGTAGGGCCAACTTGGCCCCAGACAAGGAGAAGCAAAGGAAAGAACTAGGCAGCATTCCAGACAAGAAGCTAACCAAAGGAGTGGGTGAGCTAAGGAATGAAGAAAGGAAGGACAGGGCTTATGCTATGAAAGTGCCAAGGAGAAATTTAGTGGAAATGTCCTGTCTGACCCTGTCAGAGGTTAACTTGAGGTTGGACCTCTAGGAAGTCCCGAACACTTCTTAAAGGATATCCTAAATATCTTTGTGGGTATGTGTGTATGATCATTTTTCTAGAGCTGTCCCACAGATCTAAACAGACTATCAAAGGGATCCATCAGTCCAACAGCCCAACAGGGTTAAGATTTCCTTTCTTGTGTGGACCCAAATATTAGGCATGGGCAGAACGTCTCTTGGACTGGTTAATGCAGTCAGTTTCCCTCCAAATCTTCCCACTCCTGCCACAATGGGAAATGCTGTCTTTTCAGCGTCCTGGAATGTCAGAGTTGAAGGAGCCCTCAAAGAGCATATAGGCCACATATAGTCAAGAGATTGGCAAATGTACTCTGAGAGGTAGCTCAGCACCTGGTCCATGTGAGATGGGTCCTGGAAACTCTTGGTTCCTCTCCACCACTTATCTGGAGCAGCCTGGATTTTATATATATATTTTTTTTTTTGCCAAATGGGTTTTGCTGCTAAAAAATTTGGAAATCATGATTCTAGTCTAGCCCCCTAATTTTATGCACTGAGACAAAAAGGGAAGGGATTTGTCTGAGGGCACAAAACAAGTTAATAGCATATAGATCCAAGTTTCTTGCAACATCAGTATCATCTGGGTACTTGTTAGAAATGCAAATTATTGAACCCCACTACTGACCTGAATCAGAAAGATTAAGGGTGAGCAGCAATCTATCTGGTTTGACAGTCACCAGGTGATTCTGATGCATGCTAAAGTTTGAGTTGCACCAGAATACAGAGGGAAAATCTGCCCAAACACCGAGGTTCCAGGGAACTCCATCACTTAATGGAAGCAATCTTGGGTAAATTATGCCAGTTTCTTCATCTATAAGAGAATAATATCTGCCTCACAAGCTTGCTGTAAGGATCGAAAAAGATAATAGATGTGAAAGTGCTCTTTAAAGTGTACCATGCTTTGTATGTGTGAGTGGTGTGGATTCATACCAGGATTAGTAGGCCTTGAACTCAGAACTCGGGTCTGTATAACCTAGGACAAAGTGCTTTCCCCTGGCCTTCAAAGATGGCCCTGAAGATGAGGAGCAGACTATATGAGCTTATTTCTAGACCAGGTCCAAGGAGGTTAAGAGTCAAGGGTCACTGTTTGCTGGAGTTCTGAAACCTGGGGTCTGTGAAGCAGGTCCCTGGGAAGGCCTGCTTTAGATGGTGGCATCAGGGATAGGGTCAGCTGTGGGAGAGGGGTAGGGGAGACTGGCCAGGAAGCAACAATAACCAAGTGCCCTTGGACCTTTTCCTTCTGACTAGAGATCAGAGACTGATTAGAAAGTCTTCAAACTGTACACATTTAACTGGGGAACAGAGTTGGGGGTCAAGGGAAGGGAGTATAGATTATATTGTTATTCAATGACAATAATTGAGAGTCACCCCTTCTGATAATTCATCAGTGATGAAGAACATGGTTTCTACTTCTAAGGAACTCCCTTATTTGTAGAGGAGTCTGCATGCCAACATAGTTGTAACAGAATGACAAGTGCTAAGATAGAAGGATTGTTCAAGGTGCCTGCAAGACCCACTGTAGGTAAGGATCAACAATGCTTGATCAAGAAGGTGGCACAGCTTAATAAAGGAGGTGATATTAGCAGTGAATCTTCAAAAGCAAGTTACTCTAGTCAGAATAAAGAGTCTGGAGGGGATAAAGAAAGAGCATGGCGTGTTGGGACACCAGTGAAGGGTTCAGGATACTTGGAACATTTTAAGTCCTGAGGCCAGAGAGTTAAGCTAGAGAGGAATGGTCAAACTAGTTGATTTCCTACCTACGATTAGGGAGAGGCACTGAATATTGAATTGTCCCCTCTTGAAATTCTAACCACTATTGTTACCACTCCCCCCAACACTCACGCTGCCACTGCCCTCCAAGAAAGTCTTAATTTATTATTCTGTAAATGTGCCTTATTTCCTCATGACAGTGTAAGTTCCAGAAGCTAGGAACTGTTTATTCCTCTTCTGTTTCCTCCTAGCCCAGTATAGGCCAGGTCCCTATTTGGTACTCAGTAAGAACTTAATTACATATATGCCTGAGTAATTTGAGAGGAAGCAGGAAAAGGATAGGGAGAGATGAGCACTCTTAGTCCCAAAAGAATGATAAAAGAGAAAAATATTCTCAGATTTATGAATAGCCCCTTCCAAAGGCTCAGCCTGGGCTCTCCTGTAGCAACTGTGGTCATCTCTGCCCTGAGAATGGGACTGACCTGGATTGTTCAGAGGGTAGGGGTGGGGAGGTTGGGGTGGGAGTAGGAAGCTCCTGAAAAGCATGAGGAAAGAGCAGACACCACTGTAATAAAGAGATCACTGGCCTGGGAGCAATGAAGCCTGAGGTTCCAGTCATGGCTTTGCCATTACCTCCCTGTTCAGCCTTAGTCAAATCTCTTTAGTTCATGAATCCTCAGTTCCCACACCTATAACCTGATAGAGTTGATGCAGCTGAGCATTCCACCAGTGACTTCCTTGTAAAGTATAAGGTGCCAGGCTGCCTCTAGCTCTGATATTTTGGCTAATGCCCAGCAGATGATATTTCTGTGGTCCTAAGTCTATTCAGGGAAGAAACTAAGCTGGGCCCTGAGCCGTCCATCTCATTCTGACCCATGAGTGGAGGCTTGGCCCAATCCAGTCCTGTGGGAAACACCAAATGAATAGCACTTGGAGCTGTGTTAGTATACAAAGATAGAAGAAGGCATATGCTTACTGTGATAAAATTCAGTTGAACTCATTTGGGGAGACCCCTCTCCTTGCAAGTCCCAAGGACAGATTTTTTTTTTTTTTTTGTAGTTTCAAGTTTTAATGAAATTCTCCAAGGACAGTTTTTAGAAGTGAACTAGAGTATGTGTATAGGCGGTGTGGTATGGCTTTTGTTGTTGATGTTCTTAAAGAAACACAGCCATTCGTAGTTAGTAGACAAATAGTTTATGCAGAAAATAAGTGTGTTACAGTTCATTATTGTCAATGATACAGCATTTTCAATCATGATTATAGGTGAAACCAATTAAAACCTCATTAGGTAGTCATAGCACATTCATGCTAGTGAGAACATTGCAAAGCACTGCACCTGCATTATAGGGGTAGACAAAACTGAGGATGGGATATATTTTCACTCACCTCTGGTTGGCTTTGTATATTTTGTCATTGAGACTTACATTATGTTTGGGTCAAACAAAAAACCCAAAGCGGTTTTATAAAAGTTTACAACCATTAAACAGTATTTGTTTAATACCACAAATGGATAAAGCAAACTACTATAGCTCAGTGATATACAAATCAGGACTAGAAATAGTCAATCTGCCTATGTATATAGCTAGCTACGATATGATAGACATTGAATATGCTGAGTCTTTTCAAAGGCATCAACTACTTTAGACAAGCAGGTTCCCAAAATATACTGGTTTGGTTTCCAGTGAGAACTAACTGTAGTGCCACTTCAGTTTAAGACTATGCCCTCCTCAGTGTCAGACGTGAGGAGAAGAAAACTAGGGGAAAGCAGGGAAGGATTAGGAGCACACCTGAGCAGGGCTCTTTGGATAGCTTAACATTATTATCCCTGTGCAGTTTCAGACCTGGTTCACAGACTAAAAGTGTACTGAAATTGTTGGCCCTCAGAAAGGGCAATTGTACAAAGTCCCATACTAACAGCATAGATAGAACATTAACTGAGCGCCTCTCAAAATGAACTCTTCTATGTTAGAAGAAACCTCAGTGCCAAAGGTTAGTGGGTATCAATGTTGGAATTACTGTATAAAGATAATTTATTCTCAAATAGAAAAAAAATGGATTTTCAAAGTTCTGGAAACTAGCAGAGAGAGAGAATACTTATACTTATATTATTACTTAGAAGAAAAAAGTTTTACAGACCCTTTCCATAAGGCATCTGTCATTCTCCCTTCCATACCTTGCATTTTAAGAGACAGGGCAATGGTTATATGCTACCTTTGAAAAGGCTCTG